TCCATACATCCGGGAAATTCAGCGGGTTCGGCGGGGTAAAACGAGAGAGAGGGCACGCGCCCGACTCCGCTAGCAGACAACAAAACGGGAAGTTGCCATTCTCCATCTTTGGGCTGTATCGGCGAGCTGTACGGAACATCGAACTCTCGCTCGTGGCTACCGTTGTGAAGTGGTTCGCGTTCTTAGAATCAGCCTAGAGCTCTATGTTGTTTTACTTCGGTAAATGATCAACTGACATATTTTTTTCCGTTACTTAAATAGCATTTTAGTCAGCCTGCCGTACTACCCTCAACTACCGCGTGTATTGCGGCAGGAGAGCACGTTTTTCTTTATTATTTCAGACTTCCACTGATGGTCGCTAAAGGCCTACACCAGTACGAGCTTTGTATAGTAAAAAAGGTACAGCCACCGGATTCACTTTTCGCCGGAGGGACCGGCCAGTCTGACACAGTTTTCCCAATTTTTTTTTATTTGCACGCAGATAACAGCGAAATTGGACTCTGCTAGTCTTTTTTATCTAGCATAGTAATACACGATAACTGGCATACCAAAATCTTCGCATCTGCCCTTGAAATTCTCAAAATGACGTGATTTGAAACAGAGTTTGTACGCCAGCCGGATGCTAGGTACTGCCCACTCGGCGGAGCAGACGACATATGGGCAAGAGGGGGACGACATTTTTTTCTCTTTTTCCCCTTTCTGCTATGACCCTAAAGGAACTGTCTATAGGCAATGATACGGAAAGGTAAAGATTACATGAACCGGCCATTATCCTCAGATTATTTTTAAGTTAAAAATTCAACGTTCGCTCCTATGTTCAGTGATTGTCTGGAAATTAATAATACCGCTAAAAATGTGCAAACATAAAAGAACACTAACGAAATATGGCGGGGAAATTGTGCGACTTTTCTATCTTTCATTCAGCGACGCCACTGGGGAGTTCTGATAAGGCAACCAGTTCCGCGGAAGCGTGGCTATTTACCTTTAAAAGTGGTACCGTTTTTTAGTTTGCTATTTTTTGGTTCCCAGAATTACCATATTGTGGATTGCGTCCTGATATATCACCAGCAATTCAAACTGAACGAATTTCAAAATGCCACGTAATGTGTGTGTGTGTGTGTGTGTCTGTGTGTGTGTGTTTTCTAAAAAAAATATCCTAGAAGGTCGTCGGTACACGGAGGGGAAAACGTACAGTCGATGAAAAAGGCAACATTTTAGCCTCAAACAATGTTATACATAACAAAGAATATACGGGCCAACTGGTGTTCTTGCAAATTCTTGGAAACCCGGGACCAGAAACAAGAGGGACGAAACAAACAATGTGTGATTTTTCCGTCCAAAAGCTCGCTGAACCTGACTTAAGTTTCATAAACGTGAAATGTTTATTTTCAACACTAATTAGACGAGGTAAAAATAAAAAAAGAACAACTAGGCTATAAGGTTTCCTAACGCACGACGACAATAACTCGACCATAAAAGCGAGGTAGCGCATACATTATGCATACTTGAAAAATGTCTTATTGTTTCAGGAGAACAGCTCCTAATAATTATTTAGTGCCAGGGCACGTTGAATTCTGCATTTCACACAAAGACGCCTTCCAGGAACTCGCCTTATATACAGGCTCTCGCGATGTGTGGTGGGTGATTTGTTGTGTGAAAGTTTAGACCGCACGGAGTCGGTCTGCCCCAACGGGAGTCCGATGTCTCCGCTCTAGGCAATAAATCTAGCCTGCGTAGTACCTCTACTAACTAGTCTGAAGGCGTTTAAAGTGCACCCCGCAGTAGTAGCGATGCGCGACCTGTACGCCAGTATGCGGTGCTCACCCACATCGAAACGGGCAGGAGGGTGGGGATCGTGCAATGTAACCTACGCACGCAGGTGGCGAGTAGACGTTTGAAAACGAGCTATTAACGCGTTTTATTCGCACAAAGTTGTAAACTACTGAAACGAAGATTTCCGAGTTAGTAGTTTGAGAGCACGTGGTTGCTGTCGAACAATGAGTAGCCTCGCTCATGCGCGAGTCTCGGTATACGCGGAGAGAAAGGCGTCTGCTTCTTGCAGAGGAGTTGCAGTGAAGTCAGAACGCCACCGAGCTCCGAGTGGCTTTGATTGAAAGGATAGTGTGTAGACCTGAATGCTAAAGTCCTCAGGGTCTATCCAGTATCTTTTATTTATTTTTTTTCAATCAGCCAATAAGAAATTGGGGTTCTGGCATCTCCGCAACCCCTGTGCAAGAAGCAGACGAACTTGCTCCCCGCACAGTCATCGACAGGTTAAAGAATACGGGGAGTGTCGACCTCTGGGGCCGGAAGAGAACACAACAGAAGGTAGTAAAAGAGGAGGCGACGTCTCAAGTTGAGACGTTGCCTCCTCTTTTACTACCTTCTGTTATGTTCTCTTTTCTGTTCCAGTCTCAGGTTTACAATCATGTTCAACTTACACCAGCTCGCCTGCACTCTGACTATTTTTTAGTAAATTGTGCTGTGTTGGATAGGATTCTTTGAGTAAAACTAGAAAAGGTACCAATGTCGTGTGGCTCGCACAGACATATTGATAACAGAAATGTTACGAATTATTTTAGTTTCCTTAGTATAGCCTACACGGGGATCAAATCGAGTACGAAGATATTCTAATTGGTACGCGAAAGTTTAAAATATTCACTCGTGCTCATCACAACCTCCGCGGGCAGTCTATGGCGCGGGGCTGTGTTCCCGCGCTTTTACAATTGTAATGCTCTAACCAAAAACTAACGGGAGTATATATTGGTGAGGCGTCTCGGTCGTTGACGGGGTTGAAGCGCATATTCTTTTCAAAGCAAATCTTTATCATCTACGCCATTCAAACCGTGGCCTCTCTTTCGGAGGTGAAGCTTGCCACGATTGTGTCATTGACTTCGTAAACTGCGGAAAAGCCAATCGGCCCAGCAAAACCAGAGTCATCAGTTCGTTATACTGGATGCTCCATAACCGTGATAAGCCTCTAGATCGTTGGTTTTAGGGTGTGAAAAACAAGAGTGGACAGGACCTTTTGAACAAAATAAAGCACTCTAAAATTCCATGATCCAAAAGTTCTCATATGGCAATGTGCGTGTGTCTGTCTGTACGTGTGTGTGTTTTATCAAGACCCCACACTCACGTTTAACAAGAGCACAGGTTTGTAGTCGCAATTTTCTAAAAGGCTCCTGTGCAATTATAAAGGACAAAAGACGGCACCCAGATTACCTTTCTATATACGTTTTTGGACCGCCTGCTATTCATTCAAAGGAGGTCATTTCGGAGACGGCTTCTTTGAAGGCAGGTTAGATATTTACAGTCCCACATCTTTTCATCCTCAGACTTGAGTATGATCATAATAATCTTGACAGGGCTAGGAAAGGCCAAGCAAGTGGCCCCCGAATCGAACATGTTCATTAGTTTGCAATTCCGATATATCGTGTTTATATTTTGTATTACCTCAATTTTATATTATCTTTTTACATTAAATTGTTTCTCTTTCTGTAACAAGTGGATGTTTATATATATATATATATATATATATATATTAAATATGATCTCTATTGCGTTGATGAAGTCGTTGGGTTTCGTTTATTCCAGCTTGATCGTTACATTGATAAAAGTTCATTCACGTCATCTTTGTGTGGTATCCTTTCGGGTATTCCCCACCTTTTTTCAACTCAGCACTCCAGTTTCCGACTTGAGCATTTAAAAAATCACCAGTTTTTTTTTCTCGAGATTACAAAAAAATGTAATTATAGAGCAAACGGATTTTGGTGCACCGCCGCGACCTACATTTTCGCGGAGTAGTCAACGCGGCAGACAACATTTCCGGTTCGCATACTCGGTCAAGAAATACGAAATTCTTCGCGGTAGGGACATGTACTGACACGTCTGGATCGACATTTAACAATATGGTAATTGCGAACTTATGGGGGTTTCATATCTTTGTTTTTATTTGTGAATACTGTTCACCCCAAGTACGGGGCTTTAACAGTTGTGGGGTATAGAGAACACTAAAACATACAACATCAGGACTACAATACAATACACGTTCAGAGGCATCTGCTTGAAATAAAGGGGCTCAAATAGAACTAACATTCATTATATTATCTAGCACTAAACAAAATGAATTTTCAGCACTTGAAATCTACTACTTAGCAAAAATATTATAACTACTTTTTATCGGTCCAAATCACACATATTCAGAAGGGCGCTCTCAAATTCATCTAAACAGTCCAATTGTGGGAACCACGTACTTACTACATCCCTACCTGGGCCTAACTCTGGCAGGCCGTGGGCCGTGGGCACGCTAACCAGATGAGAGAGGTGACGCCCGTAGGGACGGTTCTCCCTCATCGTCCTCTGGGGACTTTCCACCGGCACGCCTTTCGGGATCATTCATGCTTGGACACTTTCGCCCCTCCGGGGAGGGAGCCTTCTGTACCGTCAACCACGGGCGTGTCCATTTTCGGCAAGCCACATACGCCGGCCCAAACAAAGGCTCGTCAAAGGCCTTGCTTCACGGAGCTTTGTTCGTTTTGGTTCTTCCATTTCCTGCGAATCTGCCTGTTGTGGCAGCGCAGAGTCTGACCGTGATCCTGTAGCATTCAGGTAGCGCCTATACTCTGGACTTTATCGAGAGCAAAGTGTGCTGGCGTCAAAGTCAGTAACCGCGTCGTTCAACGGACATTGTTGTTGCTTGTTTCCCCCAAGAAAAACTGTAAGGCCGTTTTCGGATAGACTCGCTGTCGCCGCAAGCGCAGCGAGCTACGGAGTGATTTTGACAAAGTACTGTCTTTCGGTAACAAAGAGACGCACAAAAATTAGTGCTATTTTTTTCAAACATTCTGGTGCAGCACCACACATATGTCGTATTCATATTTATTATATTTTTTTTCTAACGTCAAGGATGGTGCTGTCGCAGTAGCAGACACGCGTCTTGATTTAAATATATCGGTTTCTTTTCAACCGCCTTCACACTGCCAATACGCCCTCGGCTGCAGATCCCCGGCAAGGCCCTGTCCGAGCGCGTGCTCAAGCTGACGGTGCTGGACAACGACCGAGGCAAGAGGCACAACGTCATCGGTCACGTGCTCTTCCCGCTCAAGGACCTGGACCCCATCTCCGGAGAGCGCGTCGTCGCCTGGAGGGACCTGGAAGCCAAGGCAGACGTGGTGAGGACCCCCAAAAACCTCCGTGTCGCTATATACCGTTTGAAGTTGAGCTTCCTGGGCGGCGCCATTTTAACGAGTGTAGCGCCGTCTACCCTCATCCGGGCATTTGGGAGAATCTGAACCCGTCCGAAGGACCGCCGTTATTGAACTGTTACTCTGCTCACCGAGTCACATCGATCGCAGCTGCTTCTGCCGGCACGGCTGCCGTATTCGGCGCCCTCGGCTCATCGTCCATGGAGGAAAGCACTATCCTAATCGGTATGTCAGGCATGGGGAAAGTGCATCCTGCATTCCTGGCGTCTTTTTGTGGGTAATTTTTAGCGCGGTTCAGGGGTAGTCGTCGCTCCCAACCCGAACCCGGCGTTTCGACCGCTAGCGAAATTGGGGATCGCCAGTGAAATTGGGGATCGCTAGTGAAATGGAGGATTGAACGAAGCAAGAATGGCACGAATTACGGCATATTAATTTGCGCTTAACTCGAGTTGTCGCAGCTTGGGGGCGCCGGGAATATTTGAACTAACTGCGCGGTTAGCGGCTCAGAACTCCGCTGCCACGTCTGCTTTAATTGAAATAGTAGAAACCTCAAATTTAAATATCAATCGATCGATATATAAATACCGGGTACAGATAGCAAGTGCGACGGATCCCTGTCTTTTTTTTTTGGGGGGGGGGGGGGGGAATCTACTGTAACAATGTTGGCACATTAATGTGCCTCTCTGTAATCACCTCGAGTGAGAAATATTTTTGCGCAAACTGTGTCGCGACGCTTCAATTTCGGCGGCGTATTTCCGTTCTGCACCAGGCGTCGCCTGCAAATTACCACCTGAAGAAAAATAGAGTTATTAAATCAGTGGACCTGGAGTCGCGCAACTGTTTTCTTTTTTCAACGTCTAAGCCGCCCTCCACTTACCTTTCGGTCGTAGCCCAAGTGAACGAACGGCACGGGGTTCTTCGCAGTTCGCCGGCCGTCCAAGAAATGGTCGGAGCACACACGACTACTCTTCGATAGCGAGAAGTGCTTCTTGTTTAAATTCGACAGCCACCGGCGTTGTAGGTCCGGAGCAGTGGGGAACCGGTGCAGCCTAAACATGCCGCACCCACATTCATCCTGTTTTGACAGCGTGGGTCTCGCACACTGAATCGGCGTTTATTTTACTTTTTTTTTTGTTATTTGTACAACCAATTACAGCACACAGTACGGTCGTTTGTTTTCTTGCATAGGCCATGTCACGCGCCAAAGTACGCTACAGTATCACAGCGGCGCCTAACATTATCGAGACAACTTGTCTTCGTACACTGCGCACGTGCTTTCTCCACCCTTTGGTAACAGTTCACTCCGTGAAGCAGACGAGCTTTCGAGAGAAAGGGCAAGCGGAACGTTGGCGCAGCGCTCTGGTTCGAGGGTGTTTTCCCCTTTCTGCATCGACCCACTTGGAACGGTGTATACCCGGCCGGTATTGGGAAGGAGATCCCCGTGGGGACAACAACCACATTATTTGTATCTCTGACGCAGCACTCGGCTGGAGCTCGTGTTAATCCAGTGAAGCCTCAATTGAACACGAATCGCAGCCGAACGCTAGCGCAGTGCTCGAGTCCTGTATTTGCCGGGCGCGCGTTATCGAGAAAGGGGCCATAAAGAATGCAGTTCACAAGTCTCGTTTTTCGCAAACATCGAGCTCTGTGGCAAACAAGCTGGACGAATCCCTCCCGGTTCGCGGAGAGAAGTTTGGGTATCGCCGCCTGGTGGATGTTTTCGACAACCCAGAGTGAGGATACTTCAACTTCTTCTGCTGGTGCAAGCACGTGCGATGCCAAGCTTCTATGCACTATGTTAATTAACGCATGATCGCGTGGGTAGCACTCGCACTGCCCATAATGAGGAAAACAGAAGCGCCCCTAGCGAACTTTTCACTATGAAAAGTTTGATCTTTTGGTGTTCATAGTTAAGCCCGTCGCTGCTGAGCCCGAGCTGATGATGAGCTTCATTTCCGCGACGCGCATCCCGCGCGTCGCGCATCTCGCGCGACACTGTCCTTTCATGTTGTTGTCCTTTTAATAGGATAAATGTCTGCGTGTTCTAACGATGCTCTGTGAACACCGCGCTCAGATATGGCGTACTGTCAATACCCAATCCTAAGTAGCCACGGTTGAAAAGCAAGTCTGGCCACCAAGGGTAGAAAACGCTTTGTCGGGGCACCATCAAAGCAACTGCGGGTACGCCTTAGCAAGGCTGGACTAAAGACGAGGCTACACAAAAGAAGCAAAATGGCGGCACCCAGTGACGCCACCGTCAGCAGACAGTGTGGTGGGCTTGTTATCGATCACGTACCTTCTGAAACGTATACATTTCACAACACCTTCTTTTTTTTCTCACCAAAATATAAAATAGCCAATAACATGGTGAATAAACACCACCAGCCATGTCGAAAAGTCCCCTTAAAAAATGTTTTTTTTTTTTACTCTTAAAATTAATTATATACGCATCACCGAACGCTTATTCTCCGTTCAAATGTAGAGCTAGAGGTTTGAACCAGATGCCAAATTTTCAGAACGTACGTCGTTATCTTATTTAAAAGTAAAAAGTGATTTTCTTAGATTTTCAATGGAAAACTGGTGGCCGTCAAAGTTCTTGAATGCATGGAGTTGAATGGGCGCCAGCTACCGAAAAGGGACAAAAAACGGGCTTCATTTTGCTATTGAAATTTTCAGAATATTACTTATAATTTTAAATTGAGATAACGGTTAATTTGAAAATTTAGCGTCTTGTTTAGGCTGCTAGCGCTTAAGTTGATTAGAGAATAAGCGTGCGGCGATTCGCAATTTGTATCCTCAGATTGAAAAAAGAGGTGTATTTTTCTTAGGAGGAAGGGTGGGGGGCGGAGGGCGAGTAGGAAGTTGAGCACAACGTAAATCCGGAAATATCTTTGTGGCGGCATTTAAGGCGTAGCGAAAAGTGCACATGCACAGCTAAATACGGCATTCGAAGTCCGTGGCTTCACCGCTCTTTGTTTTTCCGGTTCTTCGGGTTCTTATAGGGGGTATCCACTGGACGCCAAATTTGAGGGCACCGTTTAAAGCGCACGCTCAAAACGAGCTCACATTAATCGGCTGCTAAGACCGGCAGTATTGATGGCGTGGAGTGCACGTTGCAAACGAATTGTGGAAGCTCGCCTTCAGCACGCGTTCAGTAGTCGCGTACATTGAAAGGCCTCCCGCGTTGTTCAGGGGGCGCTGCGACAAGAGACTTGTTAGGTCACGGGGACGCAAGTAAGACCATGCGTTGGCTGTCCCTGGCAGCCAACGCAAGCTCTTTCTTGAGCTTTTGTTACGACAGTATGGCTACTAAAAATACGTTTAAATAAAGGCAGTCTATTTTCCTTTTGAAAGGCTCACGTGCTGTACCAGATGCGACTCACTGGAAATATATTGAGACCGCGGTTTGTTTGGACTGCTGCTGCGTGGAAACTGTCGAGGGATGCGGGTTCCGCTCCCGTCTCGCAACTGCAAACCCCCCGGTGAAGTACGTAACTGCGTATATATAAGAACCTCGAGGAATGTTCGCGCTACAAAAGCGGATAATCCGGATTAAAAATAAGCTCGCTACGCAGTTTTAAGCCGTTCTTTATTTTTATCGCTCGGGACGATAATCACCTTTTCATTTAAGATTAATCCCAAATTAGACGCTCGCGAACGTGAAAAAAAGACGACTCATTTAATATAGTTTCAACATGCAAGTTTTCCATCGTTTGTGCCTTTTATTTTATAGGTTATCAATATTAGGAGAAACCATATTCATCTTCGAGATTGATTTTTCGCCAGCTAATCACTTCTAAGTTTTATCAGGACTTTTGAATCGTATTACAAGACACAGGGAAACCCGATACGATCTGTTCTTCAGAAAACAAAACTCAGCTATATAAAATCAATAGTGGAAGCCAGATAATTGGAAGCAGCTATAAATTGGTTTTAAAATTAGTTTCAAACGAAATTCATTTTCAGGTTCTCTTTTTTTTTCCCCGCGAGAGTATATGTAACAATTCGAAAATAGCAACCAAAAAAACAAAACAAAAAAGCGTTCAGACCGCGTTTAGAATTTCTCTTCTCTCGCTTTGAACATCCTTCCAGGTTTTGCCTGGAGATAAAATCTGGACGCTGTTAGCGGCAACAAGCCGTCGCCGGTTTTTTTTCTTTTTTCTCAGTAATCAAGTACTGTCATCAAAACCACTATAGTGGCAGAAATTTTTTAATTGAAATACTAAACTAAATAATACACATTGATAGCCGCCAGTACCATTTCGAAAAAGAAGCGAAGAAAAAAACGGCGAAATAAGCGTTCGCGCTAACAGTGTCTCACGGCGTACGTGCTCCTTCAAGACTTTATCGCCCAGCAGCAAAGTAGCGTGATGAAGCGAGCTCAAGACGGCCTTGGGGAAACACTGTGGGCGTCTACGCAGCCCGAGGAAATTCAATTATGGCACTGTTTACGCGGCACAGCCATTCCTCAGGTCGTGTCGAGAATGCACTTGCGGCCGTATACTCCGCGCCGTCGAGCGATGGCGCTGCGGCGTTACAAAGTTGCGTCACGTCCGCCCGGTTCCGAAGCGGGCTTTGTTCTTGAAGCTCGCGCTCGAGTTCGCTAGAGCTCTCAATTGGCGTCAGACAATTTGCTAATTGGATAGCCGATTTGCGGACTTCGTGTTATTCTGCATCGAGATTGTGCGCATGTACGTGTTCGGTTGCATGTGGGCGTGTCTGTTTGTGTGCGTGTGTGTGTCACGGCATACTGTTTCCCAAGAATTGAATTAATTGAGCCAGTCCTCAATGACTCTTTATAGCGTCGGTGTTATGAACGCCGAAGTGTAAACGAATTGTCTCATTTGACCTCCATAAATGGAATAACTGTCTGTAAACTGCTAAAAAATACCATGCTAAAATTTGACTAAATAAGTTAACAAACTGGATAAAAAAAAACGATCGAATATATTTGTTTGATTTATTTT